TCTTGTGGGACACTGTTGCGGGACACTCTTGTGGGACACTCTTAAGGGACACTCTTGTGAGACACTCTTGCGGGACACTGTTGTGGGACACTCATTTGGGACACTCTTGCGGGACACTCTTGTGGGACATTCTTGTGGGACACTCTTAAGGGACACTCTTGTGAGACACTCTTGCGGGACACTGTTGCGGGACACTCTTGTGGTACACTCCTGTGGGACACTCATTTGGGACACTCTTATAGGACACTCTTGTAGGAAACCCTTGTGGGATACTCTTGTAGGACACTCTTGTGGGACACTCCTGTAGGACACTCTTGTGGGATACTCTTGTGGGACACTCTTTTGGGACACTCCTGTAGGACACTCTTGTGGGATACTCTTGTGGGACACACTCTTGTGGGACACTGTTGCGGGACACTCTTGTGGGACACTCTTAGGGACACTCTTGTGAGACGCTCTTGCGGGACACTGTTGCGGGACACTCTTGTGGGACACTCCTGTGGGACACTCATTTGGGACACTCTTGCGGGACACTCTTGTGGGACATTCTTGTGGGACATTCTTGTGGGACACTCTTAAGGGACACTCTTGTGAGACACTCTTGCGGGACACTCTTGTGGGACACTCTTGTAGGACACTCTTGTGGGACACTCTTGTGGGACACTCTTATAGGACACTCTTGTAGGAAACCCTTGTGGGATGCTATTGTAGGACACTCTTGTGGGACACTCTTGTAGGACACTCTTGTGGGACACTCTTGTAGGGCACTCTTGTGGGACACTCTTGTGGGACACTCTTATAGGACACTCTTGTGGGACACTCTTAACTCTTGTGAGACACTCTTGTGGGACATGGTTGCAGGACACTCTTGTGGGACACTCTTGTGAGACACTCTTACGGGACACTCTTGTAGGACACTCTTGTGGGACACTCTTGTAGGACACTCTTGTGGGACACTCTTACGGGACACTCTTGTTGCACACTCTTGTAGGACACTCTTGTGGGTCACTCTTCTGGGACACTCTTGTCGGACACTCTTGTGGGACACACTTGTGGGACACTCTTGTGGGACACTCATACGGGACACTCTTGTGGGACATGCTGGACACTCTTGTGGGGCAGTCATACGGGACACTCTTGTGGGACACTCATACGGGACACTCTTGTGGGACACTCTTATAGGACACTCTTGTGGGACACTCTTAACTCTTGTGGGACACTCTTGTGGGACACTCTTGTGGGACACTCTTGTAGGAAACTCTTGTGGGATACTCTTGTAGGACACTCTTGTGGGACACTCTTGTAGGACACTCTTGTGGGACACTCCTGTAGGTCACACTCTTCGTACGAGACTTCCTCCAATAGTCACGCTGCGTTTCTTACGAGACTTCCTCCAAAAGTCACACGTCAAGTCTCCAAAACGAGCGTTTCGTACGAGACTTCCTCCAAAAGTCACATGTCAAGTCCCCAAAACGAGCGTTTCGTACGAGACTTCCTCAATAACTCACATGTCAAAAGTCTGCAAAACGAACGTTTCGCACGAGACTTCCTCCAAAAGTCCAGCGGAAACACCCATCGGAGCATACACATCACGCAGCCCTGCCAAGCAGTTTCGCGAGTCCAGCCCCTCCAAACGACACCCGCTCACACGCCAATCCCAATGCGACAGCGACATTCACCTCTACCACAACTCACAACCTCCCGATTCCCTGCGCCTGCCACGAATCTTTCCGCGTCCACACGTCTAACGCGCACAAAGTACTGTGCCTGCCACGAAATGTCACCTCCGTCACACATCGCAACCTCACGATTCCCTGCGCCTGCCACGAAAATTTCACTTCCACACCTCAAAACCCGCACAAAGTCCTGCGCCTGCCACGAAAAGTAACAATGTCATCTCATGTGAGCTTCAACAAAATTTGCACCACACCACACGTTTGGAATGATTTCGACCCGTTCTAGCACACTCCCATCCACCAAAATCGGCATTTCAGCTGAGACTTGTCACGAAAACAGAGCTTCGATGCCACACCCTGAAACGCAAATCCCAATGGCACGGCCACATCCAACACCCCAAAAACACGACTCTCCAAACGCTAATCCCAATGGAACTGCACAGCAAACTGCGGATCTCACAAAACGCTGCGCCTGTGCAGCGAAATGCATCACGCTTCTTGCACGACATGTCATTTTCATGCAAATCACAATGGAATAGCGGCGCAAACTGACACGTGACACATCCATGAATAGTCACTTGCAAAAGCTTCCCCCAATGGCAGCGCCTTAGCGCTCTACCGCGAACGGTTGCGGACGGTTGCAGACGGTTGCGGACGGTTGCGGACGGTTGCGGACGGTTGCGAACGGTTGCGGACGGTTGCGAACGGTTGCGGACGGCTGCGGACGGTTGCGAACTTAGAAACAACGGGTCACGAACAAGGCTCCACCCCCAGACCCCCAAGAGTTAAACGAGAACCCTTCGCTACGCATTCGGGAAAAAACATGTTTGTTTAGACTGAAGTCGTCTACAATGTGCAACATCTACTAATTGCTGGTCCATCGTGAGTATTCGCTTGTGAACCCGTCAAGGAAAGATTTACTGCAACATGTCAATTGTTGCTAAAGTAGTCTCAACATGCCTCATGCAGATGGTGTAAACATGACAACTTGGGAACCTCCTACTTAAGTAGTCGATCAAATGAGATAGGGCTCCTCAAATTAGCTAGCGCGCCGTTACGTGTAACGATGGAAACTCTGTTGGCATTATTTCCAGGAACATTTCATTTGACAGTTTTAGGGTGAATAGGGCACCAGGCTTGCTGACAAAGGCACGCAACCATACATCATGTAGCATGCATGTGCCTTTTGGCAAAGCAGGAGAAACAACGATTTCTCCACGTGGATGGAGCGCTGCGAAGCCCTTCTGGAGGAACAAGATGAGGCGAATTACTTAGCCAAGAAACAGCTGCCTGGATGCAACCACTTAGTTTTACTGATTTACATGTATATAGTGTGCCATGGAAGATTGAAGATGACCTTAACTTCTGAATATTGTATATTTACGCAATTCCATTCAGCTAGGCCCCCAGGCCGGATCACCAATGAAGCCTTCGGAAATTCATTGAATGATAAGCTGGCCTATCCTCAGCATTTGGTATCAATACATAGTACACACCGCAGGCCCAGATGCATTTACAGTGGTCCATCCATAACTGCACTGTAACTGTAATTGCAATTACGTGCTAGTGGACATCATGGGGCCAACACAACTTGCCGCTCAGGTTGGCAGCCCAAGTGAGGACGTATTTGGCCAACTGTGCTGACTCTCATGAGAAAGAGCAAGTCTTCATGCGACGACGCGCAGCCCAGCAGCCTTACAATTCTGGGAGAGTTTGTGATGTTCAGCCAGCCAGGAACAAACTTTGAGGTTTTGTACCTCTATACTCTATACTATTGATTGTTGATTTGTTGGTGTTCTGAATGCAGATTCCTGTTTTTCATCAGTGGTTTGGGTGGACACTTGAGGTCGGAGAGATGCTCGGTGACGGAGAGTCGCTTGGTTGCGCTTAGAGATTGTCTGCACTGAGGTGACAATAATCTTGCTTCGTTGAGGTCCTATGACGATCGAGCACCCTCGAGAAATACCACCAACAGGTCAGCCTATGCTCCAGTATCTCATGAAGATGAGGATGAGGTGAGAGCTGCCACTTTTTGCATTCACAGAATCCCCATGACATCCTTGAAGATATGTGAGCCAAGCAAGCAAATTTCCAACTCACCATAACGGCCCACCCTGCAATCCAGTTTCCTTGAATGTGACAATCAAATTCAAGGTAGATCAAGGTAGTTTAAGTGCATTTACTAGCAGACACTTCCTACTCACTTCCTAGGCCTCTGAAGAGGATGACGAGGATGAAGATGATGAGGACTCCGGTTCCAGGTTCTTTCTCGTGTGTTATTTGTAGTCTTGGTGAATACGCACACCCAAACTTCCCCATGCCAAGACGACAACCTGATTTGCGGCATACATCACATGCCTGGAACCCCCTAGCTTGTGCAGGATTTCCTTCCCTGCGACATTGTCCGAGTCAAAAGTGCATCTTGCCGTCAAAAGTGACCTCGCGGGTTGTGTTTGATGCCGAGCCGGGCTGGATAACATCACAGACATGATCAGACATGATTCTCATGTATGCTTCAATTGACAATGAGTCGTCAACCTGTACCTTTTGTTTGTTATTCGAAGATGCTTTCAGGTTCCAATGTCTTTTGTCCGCTCACACCTTTGAGTACCTCAGGTTGTTTAGAGGTGTGTGTGTGTGTCCAAACCTCTTTCTAAGCGTTTTCACACAAAGCTTAAGGTTGTGGACTTTTAAGTGGTACTCACACTTTTTAATCATGCGTCTTTGCAGGGGCACTCCTTGGCAAACTCAGTGCAACAAAGCTATGCCTTGGAGTGGGATGCACGATTAATCACTCGTGCGTACTGTGTACCTGCAGATGTTCACTCACTCGATGTTGTAAACCATACTGTTTCTGACTTTCCGACTTTCCATTTGCACAGGGCCATTTCTAGGATTTTTTTGACAGCTTGTCTAATGCAGCAATGCAATGGTTTTGACCGGAGATTTCCAGCACAACTGAAGAACACCAATTTTTTGCTCTTGCGAGCTTTCTTCCAAGTGTGTGTGTGTGAAGTCATGTCAATATGTTTGCCTTTCGTTCTTCCAACTTGATGCTGTCGCAGTTGCAATGCCCGCCAGATAGGGAGAGAGAGTTGAAATTGCTGTTCGAGATGTCATCTAATTTTTTACGTTTAGGCTGGTGACATGTTCCGTGCAGGGTCACCAGATTGTTCAAGAGCTTGCTGACTGTTTTGGCATTGAAGAACCTTGAGTAAGTTTGCCACGTGTATATAGATGGTGTTCGACCGGTCTTCATCCATGGACAGTGGGGTTCAGCAAGACACTTTTTCCTTGAGGTGAAGACAATCGTCAAGAAGGAGCGAGCAGAAGAGTTGGGCATGACCGCTGACGAGTTGCTACAAAAGTGTTTGCCTGAATGTTGGAAATTGTAAAGGAAACTGGTCCACGTGCATTATTGTTTCTCACCATTTAGCATTTGCACTTGCGCTGAGGTTGCTGACTCGAAAATCACGAATGCCCATTTCCAAGAGGCTTGTGTGCATGACAGTGCAGGGTGGTTTGCATCCAAAGCCAGCTTCCTTGATCTTGAGACAGCGTTGCAAAGACCAACATGATGCATGGCGATCGCAACCCTTGCACGTTGGTGTGCCTTGCTCGTGAACGGCACGATGCTTGCTGACAACATGCCTCATGTCCAGTTTGAACACAACCGGGCAGGTATGTGCACAAACTCCTGGACAAGTTTGTGAAGGCACAGCCTACATGGCCTGGAAAAGATCACCTCACTCTGTCTCACTCAGGTTTCTTCCAACTGATTCGCTCCATTAGGTTTTGAGCAGCAGGAGGAACCCCACCCTCGTTTCAATGGATCTAGCACCCTGGTTTCCAACTTTATCGAGTGAGATGTTGAGAAATGTTTCAGGGTTCCTGCTCGCTGATTGGAATGTGGCAGGTTTGGAGTGAGAAGCACGGAAGGCACAGCTTTGGTCGGAGATTGCATGTTTTGTCTCATATTACTTCGCAATGCAGCACAGTCAGAACAGGGGTTCGGTTTAATCTTGAGCAGGAAGGCACAACCATGGAGCAAAGAACACTGGTTGTGTGGAAGGGCTGTTTGTTTTTGAGTGTTTTTGCTGCTTGTGGTGGCATTGCAGTTGGGCTGGGCACGCAGGTATACATCTCTCCTTCCAGATGTGCAAGTTCCTTTTGGTGGCCAGACGGTTGTGGTAGGCCATTTAGAAACGATCGATGGGTTGCTAGAGTGCTCAATGCTCAACTTTGCCGCCGCGTGAGCGCAGTGCTTTACATCTCTATATATATATATATTGTGAATTTGTTTGTGTCACCGCTGCAAAGTACATCAAATGTTATGAATGGTGCATAGACAATCCATGTGAATCATGGAATCATATAGAAACTCGTTTTTGATTACAGCACACCCCAAAATAACATCGGCGATCAAGTTAAGTCGTTAAGTGTTGCTTTGATGCAGCCGGTGCAGGCGACACGCACGGTCAGCTTGAGGACGTCCTTACTATTTTCCTGGCGCATGGCACACCTTCAAGCCGCAATAGGCCCAAAAATACGTGTTTGCTGCTATTAGGCTGGAGGCCATCGCTAGTTGGTTGGAGGCCATACAACAGTCTTTGCAAGTCTTCATGGTGAACAGCCGCGAGCACAAGCAGCCAGCCAATAATCACTCAGTGACACACCGTTTGCCGACCCGCCAGGTATATTTTCAATGGGGACATTGCAGATCGAGGCAGCCAAAGCTCGAAGATCCAACTTACAACAAATCGAATATACATCATCATGAGGGCAGTCTAAGTATCTGAATTCCTCAGGGCTGCTTTCTTGAAAAGCTCCTGGCGACCAGGTCCAAATGCCTGCGAGATCTTCTTGCTGCTTTTTGCCTTTTTCATTGAAGACCCCGACTGCCTTGTCATCACTCGTGGAAACCATGAGGAGATTGGCTGACTGGTATATAGTCCTTTGTACTTTGTACGATGGCCATGCCAATGAAAATTCCTTTGCATGTGTCATGCCCGGGGCATAGCCGGTTTTTAAATGATTCTGATGATTGGTGGGCAGAAAGTTAGTCAACTCATTTTTTGCTCGGGTCAATAGAATGAGTACCCTGGCAGCATTTGCAGGATGAAGAAATGAACAAGTTGACGAGTGAGGAGGGTGGTGGGTTTCACGAGGAGGTCTTGCAGAAATACACTGGTGGCTTCTTGGACATCAACGTACAACGACAAAGGAGGGCAACGCGACAGAGCGGGATCCAGAACCAAGTGATCAGTCCCCTTTCCCTTGTCTCTTGTGTTTCTGCGCTTCTCACTTCTTTAGTTCTCCTTTGCCTCTTTGTTCCTCGTTATTGTCGTCAATTAGCCTCTTCTGTGGATCTCCCTGAGTTTTTCCATGTCATGCACTGTTCATGTTCCCGTGCCCTCCTTCGGCCACCAATACCCTTTTGTCGAGATTTCGTCTAAACCATTTTTTTCCACAGCCTGGGGCCTGGTCATTCATTGCTTTTAGTCAGTCGGTCAACTGCACGGTTCATGAAATTGGACCTTTTGAAACTGGCAATCGGCACCTGAGGCAAGGGCTCAACTTAGGCTAGAGCAATGTCTGGGCATCATGGGGAATATTAAATATAGGCTATAGGATACCTTCACAATGCAGTTTTCAAATGTAGAGCTCACATGTCTACTGTAGAGCTCGCAGATGTTCGGGGTGTGCATTCTTTAAGCAAATGCATTGACCGCGCACATGTGCTCCTTGCAAAAGCATGCGCGAGTTGGTCGGGGCTCCTTTGAAGCTTGACCCAGCAAGTATGAGCCATTTGCATGACAACATATCGCGAGCAACGCCCCACTTGGCTTGGCAGAGCGTTTTCAGTAAGCAGAGTTGCCTGCGATGCAAAGGCATTTTCATGAAGTTCGAGGCCATCTACAAGATGCTACCTTTGGCTGTAGTAGTGCAAAGGGCTCGTTGCTCAGCTGGTGCGTTGATGTCAGTTGATACCTACCGCATCAATGTGTCAACCAATGTGTCATGTAGTTTGCTTTGCTTCAAAGGAACTCTTTGTGGTTCACGGGGGCTTGGCCTGGCACCCAATTGCTCCAGAGCATCGCAGAAGGGAACTCAGAGCATGTGCTTTTTCAACCTGTTGACCTGTTGGTAGTGGATCTCCTGCGTCATCTTCACCCTTGCGAGGCCCGTAATGCCAAGTCCAACTTGAACTTGCCCTTTATCAGGGACATTGATGCTGGCATTGTCAGCTGTCCACATGGAGGAGACCCTGCAGTGTGGACTTGCATTGAGGATGATTTTTGGTGTATGGAGGCGAAGGTGAAGTTCTTCCTTTCCGCTTCTGAGGAAAGCATGAAGCCATGAGTTAGTCCAGCTGATAAAAATATCTAGGAACCAAATGAGTAGTGCGAGCGTTTCTTCATTCTTACGTGGGCCAAAAGAACATATAATGATAGTGTATGACTTGGGTCAGTGTCTCAGAGTTGATGAACTGGTTGCACAGTTTGTGCGAAGGATGCTATCCGCTGTGCTTGGAGGAGCAGGCCAAAGAATATCAAAGCATTGTGTGTGTTTTTGATTTTTTTGCAGGAGCTTTTGCTTCCCACGCTCAGGTCTTCCAGGATCTACTCTGGTCTGACCCACAGGAGAAACTGGGCTGGGAGGCCAATCCCAGAGGTGCCG